TCATCATGCCTGCCTTGTGTCGTGGACAGCTCATTGCCACAGGAATTCCGAGGCGAGTGATATGTTTGAAAAGTAACTGTCGGAACGGATGCCGCCCAACCCAAGCTGACGGCAGTGGTTGCCTCGCTTTTGCGATTAGCTGGCGACTAGTTGCCTTCTCCTTCACCGGTCCTCCAACCTACGTGGACGAATGACCGTCTCTGCTACGCATGGCGGGGGGCGCCCATACCGGCATTTCGGACTCAAGAGGGCGGCCTCAGGAAGAAATGTCGACTTGTCTCGGCGCACGCTATGTGTTAGCAAGTCCAACGTGTCGCAAAACGATCTGATGTCGCCCTGAGGGGTATCCGGGATGACCCTAGATTGTCTGCCTATTCTTTTGCTTCGAGTCCACGTCGCACGAGTGCAGGTAGCGCTGTAAGTCCTGCAAGGCATACTAGAGCGATCTAGGTCACTAGATCCATCGTTGTACTCTCAGTCAGCGAATAAGCATACTCATATGTCCGACACAGCCAATCCGAGCAATGGCGGATAGCTCAACGCCTGACAGCTCCCCCCAACCGTGGCTGAGTACCTAGGTAAAATGTAATCGACAAGTTGTGGCGGCGGTATGACAGCACTTCGTTGCGCGAAGAAAACGTGCCCCGCAGGGCACAGCAGCAGCATGCGAGACGGGAGCTAAGGTGAACCAGAAAGCACGAAGATGCGCTATCTTGATATACGATTCGACCATGTTGGGCATCAGTTACAACTTGCCCTCGTCTCCCAAACAGTGAAGCGGACGATGCAAGTCGGAAAACGTGAAGCATTGCTATTCCTCCGCTACACACTGAAAGTACCTCGTGACGCCCGCTGCGTCATGGTAGATGGGGCGGAGTGGTCAGCCTGATGCGTTTATACCACTGCTGGTATGCCACGTCTTTTGGAAGGCGGGAAATGAGAGCCTGACACGTAGGTTACTTCATGCATCATCTCGGTGCTTGAATGTTTAGAGTTCAAGGTGACTGACGTGTTGTTCTGCCTGCTTGGCTTGTTGGCGTCAGTGACGATGGTGGCAGCATTGCGGCTGTGCATGGTGGTGGCGCTGATGCCTGCTCACAACAGACCCTGCAGGCTGTGGCGTAGACAGATATTTCTCTAGGCAGACACCTGGTATTTCGGAGAGACAGCTCGATTGACACAAATTATATACCCAGCGGATAAACGCTGGATGATTTCTTTACATACAGCTCTTCATAAAACGTCGGCAATACCAACAACAACCTCATTAATCATCCGTAATTTACAACACAGCCCTCACTTCACCATTACTTCTTGCCTCAGCCCTCGTCTCTCTCTCGTAATCTTTCCACTTCTTCTCAACATCATCTTCACAAACATATGTGATGAGCCAGCTTCCCACACCACCCCATCTCCACGCCAAAGGGTCATCGCCAACCTTTAGTCCCTTTTCTTCATATTGCTCCTTGCTTATCCTTCCCTTACCATTGAACTCACCAAAAGCGCGGAGCGTACGATCGCGTTCTTCCTGTTCAGGACCATCGTGAACGTGGTACAGATATTGCTGACGGTTACCACGGGAGACGACTCGTTCAGTGCGTTCGCGACGACAGCGTTCATAAACTGCTAATGCACGTTTCTTCTCTGCCGTGGATTTGCTCTTGATCTTACCTAAGCATAGGCCAAGAACATGTCCGTCTTCCAATGACATGCCAGCGCCCGATGCAAGATAGGGAAGAGTGGCATGTGCAGCGTCGCCGAGGATGGTGTATGCACCAGTTTCATGAGACCAAGTGGGATCGAGACCAGGCCGAATCATCAGCCGCCACTTGGCCACCTCCTGGCAGAGTGCAAGCAACTTGGGTATCCGTGGATCCCAGTCTTTGTATAGGGCACGCATCTCTTCGACGTTCCCAGCAAGTGTGTTCGCGCCGGCGGGCATATCATCTGGCACCAACAAGACCATGTTGAAGAGCTTGCCACCGCGGAGGACGTAATTGACGGCGTGGGCATCTGGGCCTATCCAGTAGTTGACCTGCGGGTCTTCCACAAATCCTCTAAGCTCAGGATCCTTCAACATGTCCGCGGTATTGAGCAGTAGTCGGTAAGCCAGGTCGCCAGTGAGTTGTGGGGGGTCCTCGTGGCCGAGCAGTATCTCTCTGCATTTCGAGTTGATGCCATCGGCGCCTACAACTAGATCGGCTTTGTGTCTTGTCCCGTCCTGACACACGGCGATGGCTCTTGTGGCGTTGTTCTCCACATCGGCCTCGTACTCAACGTCTACGACACGCGCCTTTGTCGTGAGCTTCGCGCCAAGCTCCACCGCTCTTTCCAACAGTCCCATGTGCAGGTTCGCCCTGTGGAAGTCCCAGAAGGGTGTGCCGCATTCCTTCTCGTATTCGTGGAAGTCCATCTCGCTTATCTTATTGCCTTTCCAACCGATCATGTTGCACAGGCGCGGCGAGGTAGCGTGTTTCGAGAGGTAGTCTTCTAGACCCCAGGCTATGAGGACGCGCGATGAGTTGGGGAGACATTGTATGCCGGCGCCGATTTCGCCTATCTCTGACGTAGACTCGAGGATGTGTACATTGTGACCGGCGAGTAGGATTGATATGGCAGCACCGAGACCACCTAAACCAGCGCCGACGATTATGACCTTGATATTCTCATTAGCTGTCGCTCTTCCAGGCTCATCGGCGAATCTTACATCGAGCTTGCTGGACTCATCTCTATGCTGCTTCTGGATAATCTGGGGTTTAACACCAACCATGATGTCACAAGTTTGAAGCTCTCAACGAAAGAAAGTAAGTTCAGTATTGGATAACCAAGGAAAAAGCAAGGTCGATGCCAGCGTTACAGTCAATACGTATCGTCCATGAAGAGTGTAAACACTTCCAGCATACATTCAATACTCGAACCGTCATCACACATAGCCATGCTCACCCACCTATCGCGATTGATACGCGTGACAGCTAGTTGGCTGACAGTCACTGGACCGATGCAAGGAGGTCAAGTCCATAGCGCTTATCGAGCTAGTCCGGCATCCGAGCTCTGGTGCAGTGGAGGTCCAAGATGGGGGAACGCTCGATTGGTGGGTATGAAGGCATAATCGCGTCTACGGATGGTCGTTTGGTGCATTGATGCAAGAGTGGGGGGAACGTCATGGTTGGAAGATGCACAGGTGGCTGGCGTGAGGGGTATGCAGTAACGCGGTGGCCATAGCTCCAACCTGCGGAATCCTGTTCCGATCATTCCGAGATAGACACGCGCGTCCCATTCACAGACGTGGAGACGACTGATGTCACGGCTAATGAAGTTCTGCGCATCTCTTGAATTATACAGCAATGGGACTATCTGGTCGCTATTTTGGCACAGGTCCATCGTAATCAAGCAGAGAGTACGCCTTCCCCTCCTTCTGCAGCTTCAGAATTTCACCGCGCGGCGATGGCATCATCGCATTCTCGGGTACCTTGTTATTCTTCTTGAAGTCGTCCGCCATCTGTTCCATGGTCACCCATTCCACGCCCTCGTGTTTGTTGATATGCTCGATGATTCTGCCACTTCTATTAGCGCGCTTCTTCGTATCCTACGTTCTCATCCGACGTACCTTTCATGCATGAGCACAACATGTGGTCTTCCACTGACGTCCGGGTGGATTGTCATTGGGAAGACAAACTCGTCGTACTCCCGATAGAAGTAATCGAAATGGTCCATCCATATCTGTTCCACGTCCCTAGGGTTTACCCATCCATGGCTGTTCGCGCTCTTCTTCATGAACATCATTGGCGGTAGGTCGTCAATGTACCAACTGCCCGGTATCTCTACCAGACCCGTTTCTTTCCCTTTCGTGAGGGGTTTCATCCATTCTGTCGCCTTCTTGGTATAGTCGATCTTGGTCCACTCATCGCCCGTGCGTAGCCAGTAGCAGCGATGGTCTTCGTGCGACATTGAGTGGTCGTATTCGATGCCGTAGCTGAGCAGGAGCTCGGTGCCCTCTTTGGACGTCTCCCACCAGGGTGCGACGGAGCCTCGCGGAGGTTTGCCATTGCAGAAAGCAGTGAGTTGTTTGTAGGTTTTGTCAAGAACGTCGCGTTGTTGCTCGAAGGTCATGTCGGCAGGGTTCTCGTGCGAGTAGCCGTGTAGTCCGATCTCGTGTCCTGCATCTCGTACAGCAGCGCAGTCTTCGGGGAAGGTGTCGAGAGAGTGGCCAGGCTATGGACCATCAGTTCAGCGATCTTGATTTTGGAAAGCTTTGGGGCTTACGATGAACCATGTTGCCTTGATTCCGTACTTGTCGAAAAGCTTCAGCAGGCGCTGGGTTCCTATTGTTCCAGCCCAGAGACCTGCATCATGTAAGCAAGAGCCCGACATCCAGTGCCAGACAGCAAACATACCCCGACTGATGTCACTCGTGGAGTCTTCACCTCCATATGAACCAAGCCAGCCAGCAACAGCCTAGTATCGCCCAGTCAGTAATTGCGCAAGAACTTGCTGCTCACAACAAGTCTTACATCGATGTCAACTCCATAGCTCACGAGAACCTTCTTCTTTCCCATAGTTTTTGTTATTCCAGATGCGACAATGTTGCAGTATAGTAGAAGTTGACGCGATGATTCTGGCAGGAAGAAAGACAGTGAGATTTACTGCAAACGCGCAGCAAGTGCGACGGTCGCATAGCTCATGATAGCATGCGTAGCTACCCCGCTTATTCTTCGAACCGCCAATGCTGGGTAACCCGTCTGGTGGAGCTGATTGCTCGATTGGAAGGTGGGGTGATGCTATGATTCATTGTACCTGCCGACGGCTGCTGCGGTGCTTATCAACGCGTGCTCGCGTGTACACGTGCATTAGCGTTCATCCTGCGAACTCGGCAACTAGTATGGAAAGCGCAATCTTCACGTTTGTACTTTTGCAGAGCAACGCACGTGTGGCGGACAGTTGCAATGCGAGTTTGGACAAGTTACACGTGCGAGATACATTGGTGATAGCAGAGACCTGTCCTAGGCCTGCTTCAATATGCTGACGATAACCGTGGCTGCACCTAGAGCCTTCTCCTCCTGTAATCTTCGGGCAACGACCTGAATACCTATCGGCATGCCATCCATTGTGTCCAAATCGAAGGTCTTCCAGTTCCACTCATCTAGTGTATTCCTAGGCTCATACTCGCCCATCTTCTTCGCAGCCTCACTATCAAGCTCTTGCGAGACTTCACCAGCTGGCAGTACTACTGCCGGGTAATCGACGAAGTTGAAGACTTTGGTGTATCCTACCCATCTGCATTTCCGATGAGGTACCGCAGAGTGAGGCATGACGGGTGTGAGGAGAATATCAATCGGTTTGCCAGAGCTTTCAGACTTTGTCGAGTTCCAGAGGTCGAGGTAGCGCTTCTGTAGCGCGAGCTTCTTCTTGTTCAGCTGCCAATAGTCGTAGACGGAGATGGCCTTTCCCCTGTTGACGAGGGCTTCTACGTGCGGTATGAATGGCTCTCCACCCGCAGCAACATCCCGCCTGATGTCTTCACCACCGTCTGCTGTGTAGTACTGATCCTGATCCTCGTTAGCTCGGAATGGATACACCGATCTCAAGCACTTACCATGATATCAATACACTCTTGATGGAGGGTGCCCGGAGTCCACGATACAACCTCATGTCCGGCCTTTTGAAGCTTTGCGGCGACTTTATCTAAAACGCGGGTGATGGGCGGATGGCATCTCACAACTCCATCATCTCGCATGATAGCAACTACTAGCGGTCGTGTACGCGCATCTTCGAAAACTTCAGATCGCCATGTTACCGGGCAGCACTTCGGGTCTTGTTCCCAAGGTTTTGCATCAATGACAGCTTTGGTGACTGCAGTAAGCGACCCCATATCGCGTGTCATCGGCCCAATGACCGAGGGAACGTGTTCTTGACCATCAGTTGATACGGATACGCCCTGATATGGTAGGCGAGTGCTGCTAGGCTTCAGTGCGTACAACCCGTTCATATGTGAAGGTATTCGCACGCTGCCGCCAATATCAGTACCCCAGCCGACCACAGTGCCTTGGAGTGATAGAAGCGTAGCTTCTCCACCGGTGGAGCCGCCAGGGGTGAAGTTGGCGTTCTTCGGATGAGTAGTGAGGCCCCATAGCGGATTGTCGGTTTCGCACCACTGAAAGATATGAGTGTCATGCTACCATACGCGAAAGCTCATCGCAAGACGTACCATGATGCTCTGTGGCAGGTTGGACTTGGCGACGATGATCGCGCCCATCTCCTTCAAAAGCGACACCAGTACGCAGTCTTGCTGCGCAGGTTTGAAGGCGCGCCCAACATATCCAAGGGTACTATCGTAGCCTTTCACATCGAACTGATCCTTAAGAGTCATGGGTACCCCATGGAGGGGTCCCACCAGTTGACCAGTTTCTCGAAAGTGATCGTCCAATGCTTTGGCTCGGCTGATCGCATCGTCAAAGAGGATCTCCGTGAGGCTGCGTAAATCAGCAGGTATTTTGATGTGGGCATAAACATGAGTTGGGCACGTGCCAGTTCGTCTTGGAGAGATGTTAGCAAATTTCTGCGTTCACAGCTTAGGATACGGTGGTGGGGTCGTACTCGTTTGTGGGCGTCTATGGCGCTGGAAGATGTGGCGTGAGAATGGTACGATACGGGAGCAAACCGCGGACCTCACCGGTTGATGTAGGCATTGAGCAGCAGCGATGCCGTCACAGCACGCGACCTTATGGCTTCTGGAATGAGTCGGACATTGTCGATGGCTGTTACATCTTGATTGCTATGGGATCCGCCGGTTCCATTGGGTTGCTGGCGTCGTCAATGTGTGTCTTCGGCGCGTTCGAGCGTAAAGTACCTCGGCCAGCGGTGCCTGTGCATCAATAAATTTCTGAATAGCATCGTCCCGTAGCTTGCGCTTCTCAGTAGCAGTTTGTAGCCACTGCGGTAACTCAGATGTCGTCATATTGGGCGTAGTTGAACGGCTGGGAGGGAGCACTGGAGAGGCGTGGAAGTCACTCATGAATCGATCAACGATGCCCGCATATCAGACGCATCGCACAACGTCAGCATGGTATAGATAACGGCAATTCCAGAGCCATCGGCTTTTGATCACACTCGCAGGCGCGTAGTGTTGCTGGCGTTTGGGGCGCAGGTGGGGGAGACGATGCAGGGATGCCGAGGTGGACGGGCGCGCGCTCCCACCCGCCGGACTGAACGCGTCCACGGCGGAGTGCATGTGTCTGCTATTCCCCCTTGCCTCGCATCACCCCATCGCAGCAAGCATTTTCGCGGTCAGCAGCATGTTGACGCACTCTTGCAGACGCCATGGCACTCTTCAATGGCATCAAAATGGGCAGATGTTTGCCAGAGAGTCACGATGCCCCTCCATCCTCCACACGTATATCCGGACCCCCATCTTTGCCCCTAGTGGCCGGTCATCAGCGCAGCCCATATGCCTTATAGCATGGCTCCTTCATTATGGAACCTGATGAAGCGCTCAACGTCCAATAGCCCGCCGTCATCGGTCAGACAGAAGATGGCTCCTGGCATCGCGATGCCAGACTCTGAGTCTCGTTCATCGGGAAACAGCTTGGAGGTTGCGTCGCAGATCTCGTATACCAGAGACGATGACTACTCAAGCTTCATGAGCGATGTGATGGTTGTTGGTGCAGGACCAGCCGGTCTGATGCTTGCGTAGGTAATGCAGCCCAATTGAGCAAACACCATCTAACAGTGACAGCGACAACCTGGTACGATATGGTATCAAGACGCGCATCATCGACGACCGACCCGACCGCACCTCGACCGGACGCGCCGACGGAATCCAACCAAAGACGATCGAGACTTTGCGACAGATGCGCCTTGCCGAGCCGTTACTGCGAAAGGGTGTCAAGATCTATGACATTGCTTTCTGGAAGTCGACGGCCGACAAATCGCTTCACCGCACTGGTCGGGAGATTCACTACCCACCGGTAGTCGACTTGCTTGATCCATACATCTTGCTGGTACACCAGGGCATGGTCGAAGGGGTCTTGGAAGACGACCTGCGTGAAAGGGGCGTCGTCGTTTCTAGGAACACAGCTTTTGTCAGCTTTGACTACACACCCATGTCTATCCGTCCACTGACGGTCAACTGTCAGCAAGACGTCAGTCACACCAAGAAGACCTTCGCCACACGGTACGTAGTCGGCTGCGACGGAGCTCACTCAAAAGTGCGCCATTGCATACCGGGAGCGACACCTGTGGGCTCATCAACTGATGCTGTCTGGGGCGTGCTCGATGGTGTCCTCGAAACCGACTTTCCCGATATCTGGAGCAAGGTGGTCATACAGTCAGACGCTCTAGGCTCTGTCTTGATGATTCCTCGCGAGAGAGGTCTGACCCGTCTATACATCGAACTGCGGCCAGGGTCGACAGAGGCAATGGGAGCCCAACAGACTACACAAGAGTTTGTACAAAAACGGGCGCAGGCTATACTACACCCATACCGTCTCGAGTGGAAGACAGTCGAGTGGTTCGGACGCTACAAGATTGGACAGCGAGTTGCAGCGCGTTTCACGGACGACGAGCAACGAGTCTTTATCGCTGGCGATGCCAGCCACACACATTCTCCAAAGGCGGCGCAGGGCATGAACACAGGAATGCATGTAAGTGCTGACAGGGCGAAATGAACGCAAAACATGTACTGACTTCTCTTTCTCTATAGGACGCGTGGAATTTGGCCTGGAAGCTCAATTTCGCGACGCGCGGTCTTGCGAAGCCTGCTCTACTCGAATCATACGAGCAGGAACGACAGAAGATTGCCAAAGACCTAATCGACTTCGACTACGAGCACGCCAATGCTTTTCACGACGGAGACCCCGTAGCGCTCGCGGCAAACTTCGCGAAGAACGTCGCGTTCATCTCCGGCTACGGTGTCAGCTACGACCTCAATACTGTCAACGTCCAAGCGAAGGGTTACAACAGAGGGCATCTGAAACCGGGCTACCTGCTGCCACCTGCCAAGGTCACACGCTACATCGATGCCAATCCGGTCGACATCCAGACCGACATACCTGCCCTCGGTCAATTCCGCGTCTACTTCTTTACCCACAATGTTCATGCGTCCATGCCATTCTTGGAGAACGTGTGCCACTCACACATAGGAAACAACTCATACGTTGGCCGCGTAACAGCTGCTGGCAACGCCTCATACACCATGCAGCCACCTCTCGCAGCACCCCACGATCAGTTCGTCTTGCCTGAGCGATACACTCCCGTCAGTGGTGTCTTCACGTATGCTCTAGTGACCGACGAGGATCGCAACAACTTCGAAATCCGAGACCTACCAGCCGTACTTCGCGAGTCCGCCTTCACATTATACCTCGATGATGTTCCAGACAAGGACACTCGGAAACAGACATGCATGGGCAAATGGCTGGACGGTCTTGATGAGAAGGAAGTCGTTGTTGTCAACGTACGTCCAGATGGTTATGTCGGAACAGTGCGGAGATTCGCCGACGGCACCAGGGAGAACGGGATGGCTGCTGTACAATGGATGGACGAATACTACGAGCAGTTCCTGCGAGATACGTAGAAGCGGACATTTTGGGTCATCTCGACAGTTTCGAGATTCCAGTGCATGGCTTTGGAGTTTGAAGGGAATTCAAGGTATCGACCTGGCAGAGATAGATTCATGACTATGATTACCGCTGTTTCCTACCATCATGGTAACAACTCACGTGTCGAATGTAAGTCTTGGCTTCAGCGTATCGCAACCATGGCTATGGTAACAAAGCTCCCGTCCACGGAGACTCGTATGAAACTCTGGCAAGCCCTTCTCTTGCGGGCTTGGCATTAGCCAGACGTACGCCTATCTCCAGTATATGTCCGCTGCACCTAGTCAGTCTTCTGCATGTGTCTCTCCCCCACTCTTATCAACATTCCTCTTTCAGACTTCCGCTTTATCAATAAAGATCGCTTGCAGCGCGATCCTTCGGGCCCCAATGTGCTGCACGCTCGGTTCACACCGTTTATGCGCTACGGTGCTGATCTGTTCGGTGGCGATAGGCAAGATAGACGCATGTGCACTGGTTTCAAAAATGGGAGGCTCAGTGGCGTTGTACATGCATGAGTAACAGCTCAGATGTTATATGACAGGATGCTACTTAAAGCCATCGCGCTTTACTGAGCAAATACTGGTATGATAGCCAGCCAGCAAATTCTCTAGTACTTTCGACCTTCTCAGGTCCTCCCTTGCTTCAGTGCGCACCTTGCCATGCCAGTCGAGCAGCAGAAAGACATCACCATGATTGAAGAGAAGCCCCGAAGGCTATCCGGTTCGAGCACATCGAAAGAAGAAGCTGGTATAGTCATTGACACTTTCGACAAAAACATGGAGAGCGCCTATGGTATGTTCTGACTCATCATTACCAAACAATAACCACATGTTGATAGATCATGCAGTCCGAAAGCTCGACTTCTATCTGTTGCCATTCCTCTCGCTGATGTACTTCTTCAACAGGTGAGCTCGTCTCCTTCATACTCTCACCTTCATGGTAGACTGACCCGGCACAAGCGTTGACCGATCGAACCTGGGCAATGCAAAGACAGATGGGATGGACAAGGACCTCGGCTTTACTGGCGAACAGTATAGCTTGTTGATCTTGCTATTCTACATCCCGAACGGACTTTGCGATCTTCCACTCAACATGTTGACGAAGAAATGGAGTGGCAGAGTTATGCTTCCGACTTGTAAGTCCGTGTTCTCCAGATCACGCAACATGAGCTGACGATAAACCGCAGTGATGGTAGGTTGGGGCGCGATGGCTCTCTTCCAATGCGCAGCACACAACTTCGCAGGCATGCTCGTCATCCGTCTCCTCCTCGGTGCTTTCGAGGCCGGGTTCTTCGCTGGCGTCGTCTTCTACCTCACGCTATTTTACACCCGCGGCGAACTCGGCTTCCGCATCGCACTCTTCTTTGGCAGTGCACTTCTCGCCGGGGCCTTCAGCGGCCTCATTTCCTTTGGCGTCTTTCAGATTGAGCATATCAGCATCCCGGGCTGGAAGTTTCTCTTCATCATAGAGGGCGCTCTTACTATAGTCCTCGCTTTGATAGCGTATGCCTGGCTACCAGCGACACCTCAATCGGCATGGTTCTTGAACGAGGCTGAACGCAACGTAGCCGAACGTCGTACACTCCGCGATCTATCCTCATCCGGTTCCCACGAGTTTAACATGAGAGAGTGCTTCAAGGAGTGGAACACGTGGAAGATGCTTCCTTGGTGCATCATCGCCTTCACCTACCCTGTAGCTTTCAGCACGACCTCGAACTTTCTGCCTCAGATCGTCCAACGCCTCGGATTCTCCGTCATCAAGACCAATCTCTGGACCGTAGCGCCAAACGCGGTGGGCTTCGTCGTCTTGCTCTGCATAACGTACAGCAGCGACTTCTTCCGCGAACGCACGTTCCACATCTGCGGCGCTCTTTGCATTTCTCTCGCCGGACTCATCGTTCTCGCAACCATCGACGTTCTCAACAACAAAGCCGTCGCATACTTCGCTTGCTTCTTGCTATGTGCAGGAGCGTACGTGCCTTCCTGTCTCGTACACTCTTGGCACAATAACAACAATCTCAATGAGAACGCTCGCGCTGCTACGACCGGCCTCATGGTCGGACTCGGCAATCTTGGAGGCATCGTCTCCGCTGCGACCTTTAGACAAGAGTACGCGCCAAAGTATGTGCCGACGCTTTATGCAACTGCGGCTTGTAATGTTACGTGTATCTGCTTCACACTGTGGCTGGGAGGATGGATGAAGCTGGAGAATCGACGCAGAGACAAAGTGCAAGGTGTTAGACTGAGGGCGGATGATGTGAGAACTAGCGAATTGGGCGACGGGGAAGAGAGTGAGATGTGGAGATACTTTACTTAGGCAGAGCTGCATGGTTTATCTTTCTGGGTGACTTCGAGAGGTTGCGTGGATGGAATGTATACACGAATGCAACCTCATTCTTTGCAAGAGTCACCGCTTGGATTGCTTTGCGTTCCGCTGTTCCCGCCCTCAAGCAATGGCGTTGACACCGCCCGATGCGGTAAGCGCAGCCACTAGCACGCACGGCCTTCTTCGATCCACATTTTCCTTCGAGATAGCAGCCCCAATTGTCGTCGCGTTGCCATACCCTTCACGCGTCCATTTCGATGATTCATCGCATATTCCTTATCATTGATGCACTTTGACTCTCTCTGGCGCAGTCTCGCACTCGTTCCGCATGCAAGTTGCCGCGCATGGCTTGCGTCACGAAGCACAACAACGCCATCGCTGGGACAAAGCTGGAATAGCAAGGTCCGAGTCTCGCGCAGGCCAGCAGGCATACAGTTCTCGTCGTCAAGGTGGTTGTCGCAAGGGTTGCAGAGGCGAGATGATGAGGAAGAGACGCGTGCCACCCAGCAACACGACCCATCAATGGGCGATGGAACAGCCCTGGATACAAGTACGAAGCACGATGCAGATGTTGTACACGAAGTGACATCAGAGGCAACATCACGGCATGAAGCTGCAATTCATTCGCTTAGCGCTGCGATCGATGACGACAAAAGCTTCCCGACCACGATGCCATGGATGCATTACGTTAAACTCTTGCCCACACCCTCTGATAAGAGAGCAGCGGCTCTTGCATTGTTGGAGCTTTTACGGCCTCATATCATACTGACGAGATCAATGTACAAGCGCACAGTGCCAGGACAAAAGGCACCACGGGATCGCTTAAGGCGCCGACTCCGGCTCTTGTGTAAGCACAAAGATCATATCGTTGAATATGAGAAGCAGATAAAAGCAAGTGACGAGACTCCTGGCACGAATCTAGAGGGGGAGAAGGCGGAGCCCCGAAAATCTTTCACGCAATTCGTTGAGAGGTCGCTTGCCAATGATGAGTACATGGCAAAAGGTTGGTTCAGGCGCGTTGCCCCAAGGCTACCGCCGGATGAGCAAACGAGGCTCTTTCGTGAATCGACCGCGATACTGTTGGCGAAGGCACGAGAATACGAAACTAGGGGCTCAGCAAAGAGCCTTCAGAAACGCACGATTTCTGCACTCCTGCACGACATCGACCAATCGTACCGACAGCTTCGAATACTCGGGCATGCATCCATCGATACTGCGACGTTGAGGCGGCCCTTTAATCCGTTCACAAGAGCCTCTCACTCTACTCTACGACAGGAGATTCAAGCGATGGAGCGTTGGCGCGCAGCTCAGAGTTCATTCTATAATGAAACACTGGAGAACCTGAAGCGAACCACAAAGCTTGATGGGATGTCAAAACATGTCCTTGAAAAGCAAAGCAAGGTCACTAGCCTTAAGCTGCTCTTTTCCGGCGACTATCTTGAGAGACTCCGTGCAGAAAACACGTCTGTGTTGTCAATCGAGCCAGAGACAGACACGATAGGTCAGCAGTTGGGCTCTAGTCCGGGGTCCACTTCTGCCCGTGGAGCTACGAAACATGTCGTGGTCATGGTGCCGTACCAAGTCCAACACCACATTCTGGGGGATGTTCATGAACAGTTCAAACGAGCCATATTCGTATTTGGCCGACGTTATTTTCCCGATGTAATGCAAGAGAAGAACTTGAATGACCCCGAAGGTTTATCTATCTGGGACTTTGAAAAACTCCTGATCGAGGACGAACATTGGCGCCACCTCTATAAGATCATCCAGAGAAGGCTTGAATCTCTTCGCTTCATCCGCAATGCGTATGCACACGAGTTCACGGAGGTGAATCTGGACCGTCTTGAGGAGTTGCTTGCTGATGCTCAGAGCATTGCTTGGCTTGTCGAAGATAGCTCCCTCGTCATTCTGACGCAAAAGTACAGAGATCTGCTAACAGTATATGGCAAGAGGTATCTAGATGAGTGCGCTGGCCCGAGGCAGTTGGCCGCCCAGAGATATTCGGCCGCAAACAAGCAGCTCAAGATTGCGAAAACTCGATTGTATCACTCCTGTACATCAACCCACACGAAGCGGTATCGGGCAGAGAAATCACGTATCGAGCGCATACACCAGGAGTCAAAGGCCGCCACCAGAGCAAAGTACGTTCAGTTTGAGCTGAACTTGGCTAGCGAGCTAAAGGCCTTTGCGCTCGGTTCGTCCATTCGATATCGCTTGGGGTTAGGTGACTCGTCCTGGGCTGCTAGTCTGGTGAAAACACTCTATGAAGAATACGCAACCACGCACGATAGCCCGACAACTGAATCGACTGCCGATGTCACCGAACACACAGAGAACATGCGCACGCCTACCACTGTTTCGGGTACTTCGACTCCTAGTTCACGATCCTCGACCGCCAACGGTGATAGCCCGGCCAGATCAGCAACAGTGAACGCACAGTGGCCACATAAGAAGCCTGTAAGGACTCTGGGTCACCGTCATAGATGGCTTGGAATTACACGAGGAGAAAGAAGCGACTAGGTGCCGAAGAGATAGATGTCGCGATGAAATTTCTAGATCTTGGCATTTCATAGGCCATTACTACCGCCGACTAAACGCCACTGTACAAGCCCTCTAAGTACCATCATACCATCGTGAACGACAGCCCACCGCACTTTACTCAAACACTTGCTCACGACGGCTGCAAGCCCGTTCGTTCCCCTCTTCCCCATACCGCCAGCGAAAACGCCTTCACTGTCAGCTTCAAGCAGCTTCTCAGGTTGAGCTACGAGAATGGAGCCAAGCAACGTCCTCATTTCCGCAGCAGGATCCCAGATAATCTCATCCTCATCGTCAAGATGCTGGAGATGCTGAGGCAATTGATCGCCAGATGGTGGTGGTGGAGATGGCCGGGCATACCACACACCCCATACCACCAACGTACCAAGGTACACGGTCCAAGGGTGGTGCCAAAGTCTCCCTCCACTGATGTCTGAACAGCTCAGATCGCCGTCGAGAACTTCCACGCCTTCGCTGACGAGAGCGGCGGCGTGCCAGACTGCTTTCCCGGCTTCGTTCGTGTTCTCCGCTACCCATTTTTTTACTACACGCTGAGACCGTGCGTAGTCATGGCGCGCGACTGGGCGACCAAGGATATGTCGTGAGCCAGCGTAGATTTGGAGGTCCAGGAAGGGTGTGTGGAGCAGGATGTGGGCGGCGTGATAAAGCGCTAGTGTGGCGGTGCGGCAGACGTGGAACTCTTTGGCGAGGAAGGGTGTGGATGGTGGAAGCGACGAAATATATGCGGCGCAGAAAGCAGTGTAGTCTGCGTGCCACGCGGAGTATGAGGCCGCGAGACGAGCTTGCCAATTGCCGAGTGGGTTTGACTCAATGACGCCCAATGATGTCTGGTCGCGCCGTTGCATGTCCCATGCTACAGACATCAAGCCATGTAGAAGTAACGACCGGGATAACGAGTTCAGGTTCTTGGGTATTGTCGCAGCATCGGGGTGCAAATACATCTTCAGGCACGACAGAAACAATGGGGTCGTTGGCTGCCTCTGCCGCAACTGATGCCATGTCTCGGCTGAGTCTGCCTCCCAGATAGCCTGATCGCATGGCATGTTGGAGCGCAGCTCGAAAGCGGACATACAAAGCGACTGGCAAAAAAGCACTGCATGTTGCGTATCCCACATGAAGCATAGGAACGCCAGCCTGCGCACTTTGAGCTAGGTGCCGTGAGGGTTCAGTTGATGAATACATACCTCTTCTTTTGCTCTGCTTCGCACCATGTCCGCCAGTCATCTTCGAGATCATCCGTGGCTTCTTCCGGTGTTGGTGGTCGGATACTTTGGCAATCACTGCGGCGAATGAGATTGATGAGTAAGCCGTGGAAAAGATGCGACATGTCGTGTTGCTTTTGTCCAGCTCTGCTTTTACCGAAACACTCGACCAATAGGATAGTTTGAAGGACCCAGAGATCTGGCTTCGCCGAGAACCCGGCATTGGCAAAGATCTGTGGACGCAGCACGTCATGGATGCATACCTAGTTCGAGTCAGTCGGAGCTTGAAGACCATATTGCGAGTTCACTTACTGCGAGCTGGTGTGCGTCTTTCTCTCCATATGTTGCGCCTAACAGCAAGACTGATACGAGAAGAAGTGTGTCGACCTCTGATGGATCAAAAGTAGACATATGTATCAACGGATATGTGGTGTTGAAACGCGTGAAGAACAGATCGCAGTATGTTTGCAAGCATGATAAAGAGAGCAGCAGATGGTCTCGCATGACTATGCTGCCGTCTGGTACAGTAGGTTGTACAATGTCAATGAGATCGAGCAGCTGCTGACGAGCTAGCTCATCAATGATCGGTAGGCTTCGCGATGGTTGCAGCAAAGACAGTGGTCGCTCAACGTCGATGGAAGCATTGTTGTCTGTCGCTAGTACGGAGGGCTCATTATTAGACGGCGGACCAGCTGTTTTAATTGCGTCATCAATCGGCGGCGTGATCAATTGTGCAGTCGGTGAGTGATGGTGCTGGTGTTGAAGAGACTCATTTGGCTGGGACGGAAGTGAGCCAAACTGGCCAACCGTCGATAGCGGCCCCTCCATGTCCACCTGTTCCAATTGAAAATCTAAACCCTGGATCGATTGAGACACCGCATTATCCTCGAAGGGTAGGGAAGGGAATGGGTCTTCTATGATCGTTTGTTGAGCCTGGTCGTTCCTCGTCCAGTCCATATCAAAGAGCCAATTGTAGTTACTCATGGTTGTGAAGGGCGCATTAAAGGAACTCGCTGTATCTGGATTGAATATCTCGTCAAATGGCGCATCGTCGTGAACCGCAGAGGTAAATGGCTCGGTTGATGACTGCGTGGTATTGGCGGACCAGAAGCGCTGATCTGTGGGCGAGTATGAACTAGATGAAGGAATGCTATTCAGATCGAGATTTGTTTGGGGGTAGTTAATTCCTATGCCGGAGTCTCTATCGTCCAATGAATGGGGTTGGGACGG